TTCCATCAATAACAACTAGAGTTCAGAGCACGCCCTCACCCTTCAGTGCCTCTCAGGCCGGAGGAGTTGAGTGAAGACAGTAAGCACCTGGCAAGCACCTCCTGGCGAGATGAAGGCAAGGACCCCAGGGGAAGTGGCAGCGAGATAGAGCCAAGTGACAACTGGGGTGACAGGCAAAGAAGCTGACAGTGAGGACGATTAGGATGTCCGGGTGGAGACGGCAGTGTCTATCCATGTTTGCAGCCAAGAAAGGTGTTCAGGGGAGCGTCCCAGTCTATTTGGGCTCCTGTAACTGAATAGCAGTCTGGGCAGCTTAGAAGAAGTTTGTATCTCACCAGGCAGGGAGACTAGTAATCTTGAGGCTGAGGTTTGGCAGATTCGGTGATTAGTGAGGGCCTATTTCTGGTCCACAAATAACTGTCTTCTTGTAAGGTCATAAAAGAGAAAGGATATGGACACTGTAGGGTCCTTTTATAAGAGCAGCGATCTCAGTGTTGAGGGCTCTGTCCTCATGACTCAAGTATGCTGAAGGCCCTGCTTCCTAACGCCACCATAGCTGCTTTAAATACAAGACGTTTGGCAACAAGAATGTTCAGTCTGTAGAGGGGGAGGGGAGGTTCATGCCCTTCTGTACACAGGAGATATACTGAGAGACGGTGCTTAGGAAAGGCCAGGCCACGGGAAGGGCCCAGGGCAGGGCCATATGATATGGTAATCTACAGACGCATCGGGCTGCATGTACAGTACAGCCTCCTGGGACACGCGGCCCGTGCGCACACCTGGGGGGGAGCCGGGAAGAAAACCCCCCGGGATTACAGAAGAACGGCTCCTGGGACTATGGCCCGGGTGAGTTGAAGCAAGCAAAAATGAATCCAGATCTGGAAAGGTAGTCTGCATTTCCTGAAGCTCTTCCATGTGGGGCTCCTGGTCCTCAGGACTGAGGTCTGGGTTAGGAATAGATTTGGCAGTCGATTTGAACTCCTGGGTGTGAATTAGATCAGCTCATGACTGTAGATTAAGCAGGTAGGAGAATAGAAGAGAAATAGATAGATAAAAGCCTTCAGGACATGGGAGAGGTGGGAGGGAGAGCAGCCACGGAATGCTAAAAGCAAGTTCTCAGAGAGGCCACAATGTCAGATGCTTGGAGCCTCAGCGAAGAGGTGCTGGGGAATTTAGCAGGTTGCTGACTTAGCCTGGGTGACAATTGTTTGGGTGGAGTCGCTCCCCATTCCTGGAATCCTCAGTGAGAGGCGTGTCCTCGTCTATAATGACATGGAAACACGTCCTCTGCCTTTCATAGCTAAGAGTAGCGATCCACATATTCTTTCTTTTGACAACTTTGACACTTTGCTGGATTTGATCTCTGAAGAGCTGTGTAGCCCTATATGGTCAGACATTGGGGACAGAAGAGAAGCAAAGGAATCAGGTGCAGAGCAGGGCCTGTGGAGACAGTCACAGATGTGCTTGCGAGGCCTTGAGGGTGTGAGGAGCTGCGTTTCGCTTCCGTAACCCATGCTTTCAAAGAGCTGACTTTTGGGACTGGAGAGATGTTTAGTGGTTGAGAGTGCTTGCTGTCCTTCCAGAGGACCCACACTCTCTGTTCCTAGCATGGCAGCATGGAACGGAGAACCCCATACAACAGCAGCTCCAGGGATCTCACGCCCTCTTTTGGTCTCACACGGAGTGCACTGGACCCTCTACAAACAACACAAACAAAGCAGCTGGGTGTGGTGCACACACTTGGAATCCCAGAGACAGAAATGCAGGGGCAGGCATGAGCCCAGCCTGGACACACCTGGCAAGCTCTAGGGCAGCAGAGACCCTGCCTGAAAAGGATGATGGGCAGGACCCGAAGAACCTGTAGCTCCACATTCCCATTCATTACATGTGGCCATGCTCCCTCCTGACACGTGCTCTTGTGTACACAGCGAACACATGCTTGTAGACATGCAAGCATGCAGGCACACACGTGCACACACGCACACACACACACACACACACACACACAAAGCAGGAAGGGGAACAGAGGGAGACAAGTGTAAGGGCTCCTTGCAGCTTTCCGAGTTCTGAATGAGTACAGTTCTCCTTCTTCCATGTCCTGTGTTCAAAGGGCTACGGAGGGTGGGAACCTTTGACCTCCTGCCACTGCTGCTGAACTGTGTGGCTTAGGGAGCTGCCTCTCCCACATCCTGCTACTCCACCCACGGTTAAGGCCTCGCCTTCTGCACATTCCCCGCTCTGGGGAGGACACAGAGGTCATGACGAGGTAGGAAGCTTAACCTTTCTGCAGCCCTCCATCCTTTATGACACTCACATCCCCTCCATCTCAGAAAATGAGGTCACTTCTCTCAGTGCCCCCTTCCAGCCTCACTTGCTGATCTTCTAATTTGCCCTCTGTGGTTTTTTCTAACATTGCCTTTACTCTAGAGATTTCCTTAGATAATCTCATCTCCCCTCATAGCTTTAACGCTCATGAGCATGCTCTTGCCCCCCAGGGGAAGCCTAGACTTGTCTCCTGAGTTCTTTCTACTTCTGAACATCTTCAGTTGGTGGGCCGCCCATCTTTCCTTTTCCAAATCCATTCCCCTGTGAGTGATACAGTCCTGAGTAGTGAAGTCCACTCAGTGACTAGCCCGGGAGAAAGCACCACTGTTGTCTCATCTCCGCCGCCTCCCGGACTCCTCTGCCTCAGTATTTCTGGGACACCTGTCTGTCGGGGTCTAGTCGTCTGTTTGTCTCTCTCACCCGCTCTTCTTGCGAGCCTTCCTCCCAGCGTTGCCCACGTCTCATCATGTTTCCCGTCCGTTTGAGACTTTCTGGCACTTAGCCTTTCCTTTGGGCGTTAAAGTGATTCGGCCTGGCCTCAGGCCTGCTGTGATCTGCTCCTTGGCACCCCTCCACCTCAGGTCTTAACAGCTTCCCCACACGTGTCTGGAGCCCAGCTATACTTCTGAACTCCTTGCAGGTCCAGGCAGCCAGTGTCTTCTGGCAGGTGCCTCTTGAGCTTCTTCCTGCTCATCCTCCAGCCATGCCGAGTAGCTAACTGGCTGACACACAACTTCTTTTCTTTCTATGTGAGCTTCCCAGCTTAAAGTCCCATGCTCCTCATCTTCAGGCATCAAGTGCCTCCTCTCTGATGCTCTACTTGTTTATGCTCAGTTTAGGATGAGGGTTTTTCCCTAAGACTACCGGCTTTCCAGATGATCAAAGTTGTGAACCACATTGTTGTGGTTCGAACTTCGAATCACAGTGCTCATGGTTCTAATGGAATGTGAAACCCATGTCTAGATTATTGCAGCTATGAAAAAGAGAGCTCAAGAAGGGTATGCGGTACTCACATTTACACAGAATTCAGAGGAATGGATGTGAGATAGTTTATATTAAAAGACCCATGAAATTCACTGCCCATATACGGTCAAATATTGCTGCGATGTACTTTTTTACTATTTTCAATGAAATTAATTTCTTCACTTTGCAGTACTTCAAGAGACTTACAAAAAAGACACACACAAAGAGTGTTCTATATTTAGAAGATAATAGGGAAGAATTAAATATGGTTGTAGGATGGAGAGTGCATTAAAATTAGGGCTTATTGCTGGGTGCAGTGGTATGTGCCTCTAATTCCAGCATCAGGGAGGCAGAGGCAGGAGGATCTCTGTGAGTTCAAGGCCACCCTCTACTCACAGAGTCAAGGACAGCCAAGGCTACACAGAGAAACCCTGTCTTGAAGAAAAAAAAAGAAACAAAAATAAATAAATAAATAAATAAATAAATAAATAAAGTGCATGTTAAAAAATTAGGGATTTTTAGTAAGAATTCAAGAATGATTAAAAACTTTAGATAAATCTATTTCTTTTCATTTTTTTAGTGGAGAGGACCTCAATAGAGCATAACTACACAAAATGCTAAAATTTCAGGGCTTTTTTATTTTTATTTTTTTTTCTGGAGCAAGAGATGAATGTTAGGGCCTGGCTCATGCTGGCAAACCCTAGACCACTGAGATATAAAAATGCCATTTCTTTGTGGCCACAATTTACCATCACCTTTTGTGTTTTTCTAATGATATTTTCTACCTCTCTGTTCTCTAAGAGGCGATTACTACCCATCAGCACACGCTGGGGGTAGGGGAACAACCGCTGCACTTTTCTCGTTCATCGTGAAGAGAAATTAAGATATTCCATGTGTATACTCTCACAGCTACACTCCTCTCGGAGAGAAGCCCTTTACTCTATACCTCATAACGGGGTTAGCTCTAGAAACACTTGGAGACTGCACAGTTAAGGGCAAGCCTCACTGTCTGCATGCGTTGCGCGGGAACGCTGGGCGGGCGAGTTTGCACGAGTACCACCCGCGGGAAAGGGACTCCACAGTTTCTTGGGTGAATATTTAAAGTCCTTGGAAACAGCCTGGGGGAGAGAGTTGATTTTTCTGGCAAACAAATAATTTACATATTTACTTATAATTTTAGACATATAGACAGGTGGACCTTCTTATTAACCTCTGTCCAAAAGGCAAAGAGCTGTCTTAAAAAATAACCCGGCCCCTTTCATCATGAAATGTAAAATTCATGCCACGTAGGAAACAGAAGCACAGGAGGGGGATGTGGCTAGCACGGAGCAGCTGCCTGTGGCGCCATCCTTAATCTCTAGGAGGGAATGACGCTCGCTTCCCATTGGATGCGCCCCTGCTGTACACCCTGTAGCGCTCGCCAGCCTCGCTAAAGGCTACCACCTCTGTAAGACAGCATAAGAGAAGGGCTGAGGAGCCTGAGGGCCGGTGGCTGGGACGGTTTGATTGAGCAGGATCACAGGACACCGTCACTTCTCAGAGAGCTCGTAAGTCTAGCCCCCGACTAGGGCTGCCTGCCCCTCACTCAGGCTAGACGCGCCGATGATTTGGTTCGTCCAGAAAGTACTAAATTCTGAACTGTGCTTTTGAAAGTGACTGCAGAGCTGCACATCTCTGATGCCCAGTAGTAACTTGTTTCCACACAATTCCAGGACGTTAGCTTATTGCCAGTGGGTGGACAATCTCAATGAGACCCGGAAGATGCTGTCTCTTAGTGGTGGTGGCCCCTTCAGTAACCTGCTCAGGTGGGTCCTGTGCCACATAACAAAAGGAATTGTGACGCGGGAGATGCACGGCCACGGCATTGGCCGCTTCTCGGAGGAAGAGATTTACATGCTGATGGAGAAGGACATGCGGTCTTTAGCGGGGCTTTTGGGTAACGTACCACACTTCTATACTTTCTGTGCTTACTGTTGCATGACTGGTTTCCCAGCTTGACTTGGTCGCGGTTTTCGCTCGCACGCGTAGGCCCCGTTTCCGCCACGCGACCAACGCCCCAGTTTCCTGCTGCCGTCTCTGGCAGTAGGCTTTAGTTCCCACACCGAGGCCCCGTGTGGGAACAGGTGGAGCACACTTCAGCATCAGGGCCTGGCTGCAGGGCATGCTGGCTGTGCGGTGAGGACAGGGTGAGTCTGAGCAAGGAACCTCCTCTATTCATAAACAGGTCTGGTTGTTTGAAAGCACACCTGTACGTAAAGTTAGACCGGCGTGGAGAAGATCCGGGTTCTAACGCGTCGTGTGGGTGTTGACACTTGTCGTCTTATGCTGTTCATTTTGCTGTGAATCCTTAGTTTTCTTCTTCCTAGCATGTCTCATCCCAGATTTTCCATTTGTTGCCCGTCTCGGGGTAAATTGTGTTTAGGGAGCTCCTTAGAGCAGTGCAGAACCTTAAATGCCCATGAGCTAGTGAAGGGGACATATTTCATTCACCAGCTGGCTGCAGAGAGCCTGGGCTGCTGTGGCCCCACACTGGGCGAGCTTGGTTCTCGGCTGTGACAATTCGAAAAGAGACTGTTGAAAGCACCGCTGTGGATGTGAATCAGCGGCCTCGGACGTGGGGCTGTTGAGGGGCCAGGCGCTCGGCGGGACTTGTGGTGTTATTTTCAGAGCTTGGTTTTGTTCTCCAGTCCTGGCACTGGTTGCTCCATCTGTCGTCATCCGCATCCCAGAGCGTGTTAAGTTCCTTGCCTCCTTGAGGAAGTAGGATATGGGGTTTGCTTTGTTGAAACCTCCTGGGTGCTGTGGAAGTGGAGGCTCTGTGGACATACCCTGTCTTGCAGAATGATCTACACTGACCATACCTTATTGTTCCACATTCCAGATCTTTGCGAGTCTGGAGTCCTCCCTTGAAATCCATTTGGTGCCTTGCTCTAGAAATTGTGCTCTATGGGCTCTTGGCCTTAGACGACCAGCCCTTGGCTGAGTCCTTCCTTAACAGTGCCTGGCCTGTTTCTGATTTATAACTCTTCCTCTGTAATTTATGCTGTTGAAAGCCTCAGCAAACCCAGTTGATTCCAGAGTTGTTATGGCAAAAATTATGCCAGTATAAAGCCTTTTTAAACAGTTGAACAGCACTGAAGTAATATTCTTCAGTATTACGTCACTAGAGTGTTTCTTGTTGAGAGAAGTTTAGAGTGCAGGGTGACGGCAATAATGAAACCTGACCCTTTCTCTAAGTACCCAAAGATGAGGCCAATGCTTTGCTCCCAGTTTTGGGGAGACAGGAGGGAAATGCCTCAGTGATGGGTGAGCTGGAAGCCTCGTGTTGCCCTTAACTTGTTCACTGCAGTTTCAGACATCAGTGGCTGACTATGGTCTGAATGGGAAGCCCACTTCATATTTGTAAGTTTTAACTTAGGTGCTGTTCTGAGTGCCAGTGATGGATTCTCTCGGCCCTGCGCTGTCTAGTCCAAGGCATGTGCGAATCCTTGCTGTCTAGCAAGCCCACAGCACAGCAATGTTCCTCCCACCTAGTGGCCCAAGATCCACTGCTGTGGGCGTTACCGTGCCTATGTTGAAGTAACCTTTGTTTTCCTCAATCACAGAATTTTCACTTAACTTCATCAGGAATATTGTTTTCTAGGAAAAATGTTTGGTACAACATTTTTTTTCTGACTTTTAAATTTATCAAATATATAAGTTTGGGAAGGTTCAGAAAAGCACAGAGAAGGAAAATAAGTCAAAATAATTTTACAACCTATTGCTAACCAAAGTACTATTTGATGCTAACCATATGATGGCCAACATTGTAATACTTTTATACATAATTTTGAAACATAATTTTGAATATGTACATAGTTATTTTCCTTTTCTTCTATTTTTCCATTATTAAGTATTCTGTACCATGTGACTATATGCCTATATCATACTTGATGCTGGAAAAACATATCAGACAAATTCCGCTTTGCCTACTGCTTGTCTTGTACATTTGTTCTGTTAATTCTGAGTCTACAGATACATTCAAAAGCAAACAGAAAATAAGACAGTATGAGAATAAGATTTGTACAGCTGTGCCTAGTATTGACCAAGTGATTCCCAGATGCGACCATTAGCTGTGTATGCAGTCAAAGAGAGTAGAGATCATGGCATCCGGAACAAAGTCAGGTGACATTACCCATTGGATGAGGAGCCCAAAGCATTCAGGGATAGAGTCACACAATTAGGTGGCAGTGAGATGGGGGTCAAATCCAGATGTTGTTTTCTAACTGCCGAGCGCTTGCATGGCTTCCGGGACCTTGACTGGGGTGAATAAACAGAGGTCAGACACACAGAAAGCTGGGACTGGGTGGTCTGTGCTCTCTGATGGAGAAGCCACAGTCTCTGGGAGCTCAATGTGCTTATTATATAGAATTGAATAAGGAAGAGGGTTATGGCATATAGTTGAGTCAAGGACACAAGGTTAAGTAATCATGGAAGGCACAGTCTATGGGAAAGCCGCCTCAGGCTGTAACTATGGGGTGAGCAGACAAAGCTATGGTGGACATTTTCTGCACACACGATCAACACCTACACAGAACCAGGAGGGAAGGGCTTTCCCCTCCCACGGGGCTGAGAACTGGGCTCCTTGACATGACCGTGCCCGTGTTAATAGCACACATCCTCAGGACTTCACTGGCTCCTACTACCCAACTACGACCCCAAGTTTCCTCATGAACTTTGGGTGAATTTTTATTTCAGGGTGGCCTCTTTGAACATTTCTTGAAGTAGACAAAGCCTGGGCTGCCAAATTGAGAAGTGGTGTCTAAAGTCATGTTTGAGAATGTTTTATTTGCTTGCTTCTAGAAGTGGACTTAAAATGATTTCTAGTTGTCTTGGAATGTAGCCATATGGTAGAGCACCTGTCCAGTGTAAGACCCGGGGCTCCACCCCAAAGCACTGCAAACAAAACAAGTGTAGACATGTTTGTAAGTTATAGTTACACCCTTCATTGAGAGGCATGCTCCCAAGAGCCTGCCCAGGTAAGAGCCAAAGGATAAATTGGACTTATAAATGGAAATGAGAAGTGCTGATTTCCGGAAAGCATCACTTGCTTAATAAAAAATTTATTGTGCATTTTTTAGTGTGAAGTACTTCTTTTGAGCATGAAAATAGCTTAGGGTTTCTTTGGTCTTCAGTCCTTGTGGATATCAGGTTTGTACATTTGTAAGAACCACATCTATTGGCTACATTAATGAGGCACCTGTGGTCTTGATTATTTAATGAAGGGTAAACAATGTAAAGTAGGGGTGTCCTGTCAGAATCAGCTCCCCGAGGCCCCCCCCCCGTTGTAATGTGGTGCAGTTTTACAAAATAGTTATGTGGTATTGTTGGATAAAAGGAATCATTCAATTAAGGAGTCATTCAGTTCTGTTTGTCGAGTAAAAAGGTGCTTGGCTGGTCACCTAGTTCACAGTTATGGCGCGTATAGAAGACTGAAATATTTTCAAAGAAAAATATGGACACACATTTGTGATGAGAAATAGAAAACCTCTACCCCTTGTGGGCTAACTAACCACCTTGTGGTTCTCAGACCGTCCTAGTTCCAGAACAACACTGCAATCTAAGCAGATTTCACAGTGTTGAATACTGCTAAATGTCCTTATGAATGTGGAGGTGGTCACCTTACGTGTGTGTGTGTGTGTGTGTGTGTGTGTGTGTGTGTGTGTGTGTGTGTATGTGTGGCAGGGAGGGGTGCTGGGATGGGCCCCAGTTTCCTCTTTAGAATTTCTTTTGGCTTCTCAGGCTCATGGTGGAGTAATAGGCTGCTGGCTGTGGGAATTGGATTTGGTGATCATCCATCTGACCAGAATGTGCGTCTCTGGTCATGAGGAGCCTGCGTAGACTACTCTGATATAGTGCTTCTGTGCTTTCAATTGGACATCTGTGGTCCTCGGTGGTGATGCTGCCATCATCTCAATGGAAAGTAGAAGAATAATTATAAATGGAGCTTGTTTGTGGGATGGAAACATATATCGGGAGACTACTGAAATCCAGTTTCAGGTATGAGGACCAGCATAGGTGGTAGTTAATAGTGTCAGTCTGTCAGTCTGCACACAGTTAGCAGACACCCAAGAATAACCTCAGGATTTGTGGATCTAAGAATTAATTCTGAGCAAAAACATTAACTTGTGAATCCCTTTTCTTTTAGTTATAGTTTCATGTAGTCAAGTCTGTCCTCAAACTCACCATATAGCAAAGCCTGGTTTTGAACTCCTGATCCTCTTGCCTCTAAGTCCTGAGTGTTGGGATTACAGTCATGTGCCATCCTGAACAGCTTAAACTATGAATACATTTAAAGGACAGAAAGAGTAACAGGCTCAACTGCTCCTTTCAGACCCATTTCCATGGCTAGGTGCACAGTAGGAGAATGTGTTTGCAAATCCATCCATCCATCCATCCATCCATCCATCCATCCATCCATCCAAAGCAGTTCTTCTGATAGAAGAGATGTGCACTGATTAGCATGCTGAGATCTCTGTGAAGGGCTTAAGAGTCAGTGATGAACAAGTTTGGCCCATCTCTGAATTACTAGGCTGTCACAATAAGAAATATTGTTGGTAAACATTTATAAAATCATATATGTGTGAGGGGTGCCTCCATGAAGAACAGTAAGCAAAGAGGGCCATTTTCAGGGGAGTGATTTTGGGCAGCTTATGGTTATCCCAGACTTCTTCGGTGGGGCAACATTTAAACTGAATGCAAAAACATAAGCCAGATAGCCAGGTGTGTGTGTGTGTGTGGTGTGTGTGTGTGTGTGTGTGTGTGTGTGTGTGTGTATGTAGGGAGGGGAGGACTATGACAGTGAATTGAATAGTGAGGGATAAGAAAGGAACATCATGTGGAAAGATCTAGAAGTAAAATGCAGCTGGGAGCTTTCAAAGACTGAAAAGGTGGCCA